AAGACTGTAGATACTCCCATTGAGGTTAATGCAAAGTATTCCTCTTCTGATGGTTTACTTTTGTCAGATCCTATTTTATACCGTACTATTGTTGGGAGCTTGGTATATCTCATTATTACTCGTCCAGATATTGCATATGTTGTTCATGTTGTTAGTCAATTTGTTGCTTCTCCTACTACAGTTCATTGGGCAGCGGTTCTTCGTATTTTGAGGTATCTTCAGGGTACAGTCTTTCATAGCCTTTTACTTCCATCCACTTCTTCCTTGGAGCTATGTGCATACTTTGATGCTGATCATGGTAGTGATCCCACAGATTGCAAATCTGTTACTGGTTTCTGTATCTTTTTAGGTGATTCTCGTATTTCTTGGAAGAGCAAGAAACAATCTATTGTTTCTCAATCTTCAACCGAAGCAGAATATCGTGCTATGACATCTACTACCAAAGAGATTGTTTGGTTATGTTGGTTACTGATAGATATGAGAGTTTCTCTTTTTCATCCCACTCCTATGCATTGTGACAACCGGAGTTCTATTTAAATTGCTCACAACTCGATTTTTCATGAACGAACTAAGCACATTGAGATCGATTGTCATCTTACTCGTCATCATCTCAAGCATGGCACCATTACTTTGCCCTTTGTTTCTTCTTCTTTGCAGATTGCAGATTTCTTTACCAAGTCGCATTCTATTTTTCGTTTTCGTTTTCTAGTTGGCAAACTCTCGATGCTTGTCGCTGCTGCATCGTGAGTTTGAGAGGAGATGTTAAGAAATATAGGGTTATTTTGCTTATTAAGAGTAGAATAGTCTTTTACTTTTCCTGTCTTGTTTAGCTTATATATAGTCTCTTTGTATTTAGGTTAAATTAGTTCATTGTATCATTCAATTCAATTATGCAGTATCAATAAAACTCTAGCCTCCTCTTTTCTTATCTCTTATATTTATTTAGATTGTTCAACATTAATAAATGAGTGAGAGGGTAGGTGAGGTTTGTGTCTTAGCAGCGTGGTGTGGGGGCGGGGATGAGTTTTAGACTTTCAGTCTAATCCCGCCTCCATCTCTGTAAAGATTTATATGAATATCTCTATATACGTTCAGCATCCAATACATATAATCCATCTATCATCTAGATGAATATTTGTTTTCCTCTGGTCCACTATTATTTCTACCAACGGGTAGTTCAATGATGTGTGGTGTCAAATTAGACTAAAATTTAATCATAAATTCAAACGTCTTGAATTTAATTTTCATTGAAAGGTGACTTTATTTTGAGGTGACATAAAAGGAAAGCAATGTTTCGATTTCTAGCAGCAAGAGAAGAATAATTAGTCTGATTCAAGTCATTTGTCGATGTGATAAAAAGTTAACAGGGGAGTTGGGAAACTCTCTAATCCTTCTATTTGGAAGTATTTGACTCCAAAAAAATAAGTGTGGATCTTCAACATCATCCCACTAGTGATTGGGTGGAAATGGATTGGACAAGGACTCTGGATGCTTTGTTATTGATAGATGATCACTTCCAAAATCATAGTCTGATCTTGGATTTTGCAAAAATGATCCTTACGTTACACATGAGACATGAGAGTTAGGTGTAATTGAGAGATGCTCTTTCAGGGTACAATTTTATTCGATTAGGGGTTGCTTGTATTATTAGGAATTCTCAATTTGAGATATGCTCAATTTCTCTTAATTGAGAGATATTGCGAATTCTCAATTTTTATACTAAATAAAAATAATTTTTAAATTACTCAAGAATGAAATTAATTCAAGTGTGCGTAAGTTAAACCAGATTGAGGAGAAGATTAATTGAGATGTGTGTAAGCTGGTCTGAACACCCATAACCATTAAACTACAAAAAAAAAAAAATAAGTTGCATTTTTAGACAAAAAAATGAATGACACTTTAAGCATTATGAAGGATCGGATTGGACAAACTCATCAATCTCATATCCATCAATTTGACCCTTAGACTAATTATAGTGACAATGTCTCCTTATCTCATGTTTGGTTCAAGTATTAAGAAGTAGTGGACTCCACATTTATCCTATCTAATACTTTATTTGGATAAAGTATTGAACGATTGTCGGGGTGTCAAACGTGTCAGGTTGAGTCATTTCGTGTCGGGTTGATTTCGAGTTTGTGTCAAAAATATCAAAACCTAAACCTGACATGTTTAATAATCGTGTCAAAATGTATAAACATTAACTTGATCTGACCATTAAACGGGTTACTCGAACCTGATCTGTTTGACACGTTTAATAAATATGTTGTTTCCGAGTTAACACACATAACTTGATTTATTTAACTTGTTTAACACACATAATACAAACATGTTTAACACATATAACCTTTTTCCGCACTAGCTCATTATCATTAAATACATCATTAAATCAATCATCCAAAATTTCCAATATTTTTTTTTCCAAATAACATATTACATCTCATTAATGAAATTAATTAAAATACATTCAAGTTTCAACCCAAAAATTAAAAAAAGAACTATACTAGTATACTGTAATGATAATGTTAAAAACTATAATGCCAATTATTATAACAGAAACAAGAACTAATAAATAATAATGTTAAAACCACATCAATCATATATAATAGTCAAACTATACTGCATAAACGGATTAAATGAGTCTAAAATGGGTTAGGTCGGGTTCGTGTCCAAATCATGTCAATCCATTTAAAATATACGTGTTAATCAAATCAAAATCGAGTTGATCTGAGTTTGACATGAACTCAACATGATTTTTTTTTTCTATGTTTAAATATGTTAGACCTATTTTAACTCATTAACTCATTTAATTTTATGTTCAATCCATTACTTTTGTGTTCGATTTATGTCTCGTAAAAATTAACAGTCCTAAACTGACAGTCTTAAACGATGATATAAACATTAACAGTGCATTCGGTAACGTTTTTTGTTTTTATAAAAAAAAAAAAAAACAAAATTAGGTTTTGGTTTTTTTGTAATAAAAATAAAAAAAAATATAAAACATATTTGATAGTCATTTATATTTTAAAAAATATAAAAAACCTGTTTAGTATTATATCAAAAATTTACCACCCAAACCCAAACCCCCACCCACCCAAC